GTGTTATTCAGTACATAAACATCCTATTTCTGCCATTAAAAATACAATATTGTCAAAATATAAACTCCATTTGTAATACGTTCTTGATTCATATATGGATGACATAGGTACTTACTATTGGATTCAGCCACAAAGAGTAAATAATTGGTCTTACCTGAAACAATAAAATTATAGGTCAATGACAAAAAACACAGAAAATTTATCAGTTTAGAAAAGATTATATAGTGGCACATGTGAATGCATCTACAGAATGAAAAGGATTAACTTTTCAATCTTCCCTCAAACAGCAGCATACACATTTTTTGTATTCCTGAATTACGCGAATTCCATGGGGAGTCGGTCAGAGATCGACTGACCGCTCATTCCCTCTCGCTCGCCCATCCAACATCTTCCTCAATACAAACACCAATACGGCATCGCCGCAATTAATTCCTTTTATGTTCGAACGGTAAACTCCCAGGGACGATCAAGGATTATTGCATTTTCTTCTCTGCCTGCCGATGCTACCAAAGTATACACACTTTAAATACTAGGGTCACTTCGCGGGCTAACTAGAAAGACCACATGTCACTCATTTCCGTCCGTCTGTCTGTCGCTGACAAAAAAAGTCGACAAAGAAAAAAATAAAAATTGCTCTAACGTCGTTTTTTGAAATTTCTAAGGATCCTGATCATTTTTTAGAAAACATTTTAGGCGTAATTTATCATTGAGTTATTTATTTACCCTCCTACATCGACAGATGTATTCAAATATAAGAGCTCTTACTAAGAAAATAAATTACAACTACAAAACACATTTCAAAATAGAGATAAAATATACATTAAGGCCCAATTTCACCAACAACATCCACACTATATTCACACCGATTAAGAAATTCCCAAATATATGCCTTAAAGCTACCAGCAAACCTATAAAACCTGCAAAAAAAACTACAAATTTGTCATATTTTTCTTTATTCACGAGTACATATTCTAGGTTATATTTATATTAGACATTATTTAAATACAGCTGATTATTGCATTTTAAGACTCATCGAGTGACAAATGTGTGGGATCTGTTTTTTCTGTACAAAAGCATCATGTTGGAATCAAAAAGTGGTCTTGTTTATAATACAGTCGAATTTTCACGGTTTTATTCAATATTTCAATAGAAATCACTAATATTCAGAGACCTTTGACAGTTTCTGTCAAATTGCATTTCGGTCCATAATACTAATGTTGGTGAATTCGGCCCTGAATATAACAATAATAATAATAATAATGGCATCTTGGTGATGCGTTGTTTAGAAACAGTTTGATTTGTTCTATCAATGTACAAGAAAATGTATGTCACATCGTTACATAAAATTTGTTACATTCATACATCATCCTATTTTTAGGAGAGCTACTTAACTGTTGACATTAAAACACTTCGTTTCCTCTTATTCTTAGATTAATTTTAGGAACTACAAATGATACATATTTAATTAGATCACTTTCCTTTTTTTACACCGGAGCTGCCGCTCAAGCAAAAGCCTGAATGCGGAGGACCGCGGTTGCTATGGGAATCCCAAAGAAACCTAATCCGATTTTCGGATTGCCCCAGGTTAGTTCAGTTGTTAAAGATATTGTAAATGAATAAATAAATAAGATAATTCATTAGACAAACACTTTTATCTGAACGAATGAAACAAATTCAATCAATAAAAGTAAATTGTTTTACTTGGAGTAGATAAATTCATTTTATTAGCTCAATAATTTCAAATAAACTGGTGTAATCAATCTAAGTAAACGGTTTAATAAATTTAATTAAACGATTGCGTTTTGGCTTAACTAAACTGGTTTCATAGATTCAAGTAAACTGTTTTAGAAATCAAAACTATTTAAATTGACCTAATTAAAATCTTGATTGGTTTGATTTTTTTCTCAAAGAAGTGACCCTACTACCGTGAGTCTATACACTCTGCCGCTGCCCTCGTTCCGTGTCGATGCTACTGCTAGCCTCCTCCTGGGAATGTGTTTTGTTTTATTGCTAGCGGAAAAATAAAAACTTCAGTTTGATACTACACTGCCTTATTGACTTTTCATGTAACAAAGGACGATGGTGTTAATCCTGGTTTTCTATTCTTCTTGATGCGATGTGATAGAGTGAAAGGGTTAATTCAGTTTTTGTAGACATGTGGTATTGAAATGTTTACGAATCATCTCGTGATCTTATCATTTCATTTAAAGCTTCACTGTTGCATGGGGTTCTTTCTGTTAACTTAGATCAATCCAGTTCTTCAATCCGAATACCGTCTAAAGATCTTACACGACTAAGTGCTACATAAGCTTGTCCAGCAGCAAACAGTCGCGAGCCTATATAAATGACTGCATTATCGACTGTACAACCTTGCTTCTTGTGGACGGTCAAACTCTGGATTAATAGCAACATTCGCAATAAACAAGGTGAGAATGCACTACCTTGAAAAAGTATCTGCCTCGGTCGTGCTGTGCTGAGTGCCCGAATCAACAAAGAGTAAGTCCCAAACTGCACGCATGTGAAGGGCGTGCGCTTGCTCTATCTCTCTTACTCCCCCATAGAGGATCTATAAAAGAATCTATCAATCCTGGCGGTCCTAATAAGGATAATGGAAAAATGCTATCAAATTATTGCATTGTCGTCGGTCCTTGATACGTGTGCGATGTTTCAAATTCATCAAACTTATGCTCAAAGATTACATACATACACATACGTACATACATATATTCATACATACATACATACATACATACATACATACATACATACATACATACATACATAAATACATACATACATACATACATACATACATATACATACATGCATATATACAAACATGCATATATACAAACATGCATACATACATGCATACATACATACGAACATACATACATACATACAAACATACATACATACATACGCACGTACGTACGTACGTACATACATACATACATAGATGCATACATACATACAGGTACATGAATACATGCATACATGCATACATACATACATTCATACGTACATACATACATACATACATACAAACATACATACATACGTACGTACGTACATACATACATACATACATAGATACATACATACAGGCGTACATACATACATACATACATGCATACATACATGCATACATACATGCATACATACATGCATACATACATGCATGCATACATACTTACATACGCACGTACGTACGTACATACATACATAGATACATACATACAAGCATGCATACATACAAGCATGCATACATACATGCATGCATACATGCATACATTCATACATACATACATGCATGCATGCATACATACATACGCACGTACGTACGTACGTACGTACATACGTACATACATACATACATACATACATACATACATACATACATACATACATACATACATACATACATACATACATACATACATACATACGTACATTCATACATACAGGCCAAGCTAATAAAAGCATGTTAAAAAGGGGGTTTCCAATTAGAAAAAATGACTCGGTAAGTTCACGGTTTAGCGTCAAAGTACGTAACATCTGACTATTTTTTAACATATATCCGTACGCGGTGTAACCAAAAATTTGCGGTCGGCTCCCCTACTATAAAGCATATGACTCCCAAGGTCAATAGGACCGGCCATCGAAATATCAAGACATTCCACGAAGCGTCATTTCTTGATACGAGTATAACTATTTTTTACTCTATCCCCTGTCGCAACCAACATTTTTTCCTTAGCACCGTACCCCTGAGCTGATCCAACTTCCCTTGCAGATGACTATAGCACCTTTATTGGCAATATTCAATAATACCGCAAATAAAAAGTTTACCTCCGCACAGCCTCGAATCCCAGATTCAATATTTGTCTGGCGCGCGCCTTCCCAACTTCGTGTTTGCCAGAAGCCGAAGACGGCGGCCTGGCTGCGGATATATCTCATCCGTACCGTCTATCTCTTTCTGTCCGACTAGATATTCTATTTTCTCTGTTTCTTTCTGACACGGTAAATATTATAAGAGCGGAATTTTTCGCGGAGAGCAAAGGTTCGAGTTTTCGGCACGGCCGATCACAGGCCGGCCCGTTTATCCTTTGCTGAACCGCGGAGGCTACGAAATTGCAGAAAGCATGGCGGGAGGTATTTTTCGGTAGAATTCCATGTTTCTCTTTCAAAATGATAGCGATCATGTTGAAGTTACTCTTGACTGACGTATCGGCCGACACTGTGTTTTTTTCAAAGTACACATCAATGACAATGACTTGATTCATTTGTTTTCAAGGTCGCAGTTCGTTTGTTTTTATTCCTCACGCCTACTGGAGACAAAGTATTGTACTTGCGAAAAATCTCGACAATGAGATATCATGTTTTTGGATGTAATATGACATGTACGGAAAGTACCGGTCAAATGTTGACACAAGGTAACTAGAATACCAAGAAAGAAAAATCCTTGTGTTTTTGAAAATGGTTCAAATTTGTTTTTTTACGTTTCTGATCATTTTTTAAACGTTTTTTGTGCTTAAAATTTAAGTGTGACAGAAAAATATTTTGATACGCGTTACTGCTTCTGTTGGGTGGGATCACCGGCAAGCGTGCCAAGATAATGCGAAGTCATGATTACAATTTGATGACGGCACCGCTCAAAACCAGTAAAGCTTAGGTCTGCCTCAGTTAAGCATTCCCGCTCTCCCAAAGGCTGTACGAATATCAATTCCAGCTTCGATAGAGAAAAGGTTTTCCTTGAATTTGTTGAATCTCAGAATAGACGGATTCAAAAATCACCAGTCTTCGTTATGTACCATCTATGATACCTCCAAAGCGTTTTACATAACATATTACATAGATTAGACGCATATGGTCTCAGCACAAGCAGTATCATGCTCATCAATTCGTATCTCACAGATAGACAGCACTATGCTGCTAAAACAAAAGAGTTAAGCTTCCAAACAAAAAAAGCAGTACCTTAAAAGCTAATAGTAATAGGAACGTCAAATTTCTTGGTATGCATCTTGATTAGCTAATGACATGGGAGCGTCATGTATACGTATATGAACTATAGCAAAATTATTTTTCTGATAAGGAATTAATCTCAAATGGTGCTACTATGGGCATTTCCCCTCCAACATGAGCTATACTGTATACAATGGGTTCACTTATCCCACGCCAAATACGTTTTTGAACATCAGAGTTGCTGATGAGCAAGGGTATAGCAAGTCATGTAGGGAAGCTTTCCATGTGTATTTGTCCTAGCATGTTTTAGGAATGTTAAGCAGAATGAATCTCCATATGCAAAAAATGCAGATTTCCACAATTACAGGAAACAAAGAAAATTTCCAGTTGAAGAATCTGAGACTGACAACAACTAGAAATCACTACAGCATAGTTTTTTCAATAAGGGAATTAGAATCCAGCAATTTATTCGAACGATAAAAAAATTTGTATTTAATTAGCAAATATATTTTCCCATTGAGGAGTATCTCAACAATAATTTTAATAATCTAACGACTGCACATTCTAATGTCTCCATTGTTTCAATGTGTTTTATGCACTGTTTTTATTCAACTGATCTCTATACCCTTATTGCATTCGCAATTAATGTAATAAGCAGCTGACTACAATGGAATCCACTTCTATAATGTTCTTCCTGCGAATATCTGGCACCGTCTCATTTAGGTCTAGAATTACATGATCAAACGAACTTACCTGTAAGTGATGTTCAATCTTAATTATGTGAAGTCCTCGTCGAAGTAAATATATAGAATACATATCGTAGTACCCTCGTAGTAGTACCCAACCGACACGATTTCAAAGCGCGCACGCAGAGAAGGAAAGCGGCACCGCACCTCTTCCCCCTACCCTCCTCCCCTCTGACCGCCTATACACCTTCATTCCTTGTTCTCGTGGCCGACCGTCAAGACGTTAATCGGCGCGTCGTTTACGTGCTACGTGCAGTGTCGAGGATCCGCTGAACATTTAGAATTAGAAAACAGGACGGAAGGTTGGCCGATAGATGTGCATTGTCGAACGAGATACCGCCCGACGGTCGCCTGAAGGTTCCTTTCGTCGCCGATCAAAATTAGAAAGTGGCGTGTAGGCCTCTTTTTCTGAAGGGGCGTCATCATCAGGTAAACTGTCAAATAACCGATCTGTTTTAGGTGAAAGTTAAATGAATATTAGTATGGATACCTCACCGGCGCTGCAATTGTGCCTAGCATGACATTTGGAATAACGTTCTGACACTGTTGCTTGGGATAGCAACCTGGACCTAACTTGTGATAGCCAAATTCATACCTAGGACGAACAAAGACGTTTGGTTTAACGCTGAAACATTGGACTCGGTTGCTTGGGATAGCAACGTGGACCTGGCTTGGGATAGTCAGCTCCACACCAAGGATGAACGAAGACATTTGGGATAACGTTGTAACATTGGACTTGTGATAGTCCACACCAATGACGAATGAAGATGTTTGGAAAAATGACTCAATACTGAACTTCGTTGCACAAATAACAACACTAAAAGCGTTTGAGGCAACGTAGCAACAAGGTATGGTCAACAATCTTTTCTCATTTGCTTGTGATAGCATATTTCATCTGGTTTGTGATAACCATGGAACAGGACCGTAAGTTTGAACATGGCAGGCTAGGAAGTTGTTTAGATATATTTGTTCCTTATTACCAGATAGAGATTAGGTAAGTTATGCGAGGTTAGCGTTACAGCGTTAACAGTTTTCTGTTAATGTTGTTCTTTCGAACAAATGTTACTTTTTATGAATTTACACTTTTGCATTTTGAATTTTACTGCCAATAAAGTACTACTACTACGACTACTCATTTTCAAAGATCTCTACCTACATTCCCGAGATAGCTACCAACCACCAACAGTACATTCTGTATACCATATGTGAGAAGTTCATCTGTAAAACTTAGACGCTTGGTGTTTGGGTCCCTACCAATTGAACAAAGATCAACAAACTTATCTATGTACATCTTTTATAATTTCGCCATACATTTAACTGGCTAGACCAGCTTGTTACTTGGAGGAAAGTGGGTTAAGTATAATAACCATGTACATGCAAACGTTAATGGGTGTGACCCAAAGTAGGCAAATTTACTCCAAAAAAGGAAATTCGTCCTCGCAAGGCGATGTTTTCGATGTGGTTTCAGCTTGGAAATCTGAAGCTTGAACTGCCTTTTAATGAAGGACCTCAAAGTTGCTCGAAGTGCTCGACAAAAGCTACCGGAGCTAAACTGGGAAATTGTCCCGGTAGATTTCAGTTTATTTGGAGCACTCTTTAAACGTTATGGTATTATCGAACCACTCCATAATGTCAGGCACTAATAAGGCCCGGTATTATTTTGACTACTGTGCCTGCCACTAATGGATGTAAAAACACTTTTATTGATTTCGTGGTTAAACATTGTATGTTGCTCAGTGATAGGTGTCAGCTGATAATCATTTATTTACAATATACCTTATACCGAACGGCAAAAATAGCACAAAACCGGCGTCCGAAGTACGAAAATGAAAATCACATGGGATGATGAGTATCAAATTCAATTAACCAAAACCATCAAAACACAAACACAGCCATAAAATTAAAAAAAAGTATGGTTGACAGTCTTAACCAGTGTGAGGACTGTCATGTCATGCGTATACAGGGTGTTTCACAAATTATCCGACAAATTGTAACCACATATAGTCAACGCCAAACAAAGTGGCGTGCACGTCATCACGATAAAAATTCCCCGACCTAATACCTAGGTTTCTATCACAAACAATTGCTCTATTGCAGTTTCATATTAATGTGATATATAAATTGTAAAATGGTCATTACTCTCTTATTATGGTTAATAGTCATATAAACATTGTTATTAAAATATCACATAAGTTGCTTTCTGATAAATTTAGACGCATTATGCGAAATAAAATGTTTTGCAAACGCTCCAATCACTTATCGACATGTAAACGCACTAAACCGATTTCGCAGCGTTGACACATTGTCACCTTGAAACTTATTTAAACTGGGAACTGACATTTGTATTAATTTTGACACTGAATCAATTTGTGGCATTTCAAATCTTTATAAATCCTTTGGCCCCGCATACTGTAAATCAACAACTGTTTGTTTCAAAACAAAATTATTCATTTTACGAGTAGATAAAGGCAATTTTGGTATATAAAGATGCCCAAACAGTTAAATAGTCGGTGTAAGGAACTCGTGGCCTCGTTAATGCACTACTTTGAGCAAGAAAGGGACAACAACGGGCCTTTGTTGCCTTTAAATGCTGTTCAAGAGGTAGGTTACTAATAATTATATGTAATGTATATTAATAATAGTGAAATTTTATTTCATTTTTTGTAGCGTGTTGCTGCTGCTTTAAAAATTAGTTTAAGGACAGTTAGTCGTATTTCCGAGGGTGTGAAAAGTGATGCAAATTTAGAATCGCCCAAGAAAAAGCGGAGTTATATTAAACGTGTAACCAACACAGCGACATTGGATACAAGTGCCATTCGAGAAGTGATCTATAATATGTATCACAAAAGTAAGATCTTATTATAATAACTTATCAGAAATTTGCATTAATTTGTTAACTAAATTATAATGTCATATTACACATGGTTTCAGAAGAACAAGTTACGATACAAACTTTATGGTCTCGATTAAGAGATAGGGCATTATTTGATGGTAGTGCCACGTCTTTAAGGCGGTTGCTTAGAGATCTTGGATTTAAGTGGCTTAAGGACAATCCGCGACGAGGGCTCATGGAACTACCAAGTATAGCTTTGAAAAGGGTGGAATTTCTAAGGCAATACAATCAAGCCAAGGTTGAGGCCTTATACCAGTTTGTCTTCCTCGATGAAACTTGGATATTTCAAAATGGGACCATAGGTCGCTCTTGGCAAAATGGAAACCAAAAAAGCGTGAAAGCTATTAAAACAGATGGTAAAAGGTATGTACTTTTACACAATTTGCACTATAAAATTTAAAACTAATATATTTTAGATACATTATATTACATGCTGGAAATGAAAATGGGTTTATTGAGGGTAGTGAAGCGATATTTTCTTCGAAAACAAAATTGAGCGATTACCATGGAGAGATGAACCAAGACAATTTTTTGAAATGGTTTCAACATCAGTTATTAGAAAAATTGGAGAGTCCATCTATGATTATACTGGATAACGCCCCTTATCACAGCATGATATTGAACAAAGTGCCCAACAATGCATGGACAAAAAAAAATATCCAAGTCTGGTTGACAAATCAAAACATACCATTTTTAAACACAATGTTTAAAACAGAGCTATTAAGTATTGTTGCTCGGTACATAATGCTTCTTAATTATATATATTTTGGTCGACAGTTTATATTTCTTTTGTTTATTCCTATTCTTAAAATAACTGCTTTTTTAGAAACAAACCACCTAAAATATACGTGATTGATGAATTGGCGGAACAACATGGGCACAAAGTTCTTCGTCTGCCTCCTTACCATTGTATATTTAACCCTATTGAGTTAATTTGGGGCATAGCAAAAGGTTACTATAACAGACATATTGGTAGAGATGGTAACAGTGAAAAAGACTGTTTGGATATGTGGAACGAGGCTCTACAAACGGTTACCCCAGACATGTGGAAAAATAGTGTTCGACATACTGAGCAAGAAATTTTTAAATGGTATGAAAGAGAACGAATTTTTGATCGACCAGACATCGAACCTTTAATAATCAACTTTGAGAGTGATGAAGATTCAGATTCAGACAGCGCTGAAGAAAGAAACTCCGACTAACTTTATTGTACAGAAAAAGCTTACACCAGTAGCTTACCTAATTTTAGAATGCATTTTTCTGTATGAATTCTGTAAAATAAATACCATGCATAAAATTTGGAGGACCCCATTTGGATTTTTATTCAGTACCTTTAAGCTATCAATTAAATATGGTAGTTTCATAGTGTCATCTGATCAATAATTGTCATACTTAATGATTATGCAAGTACAGATCTATAATTTTATTATACTATTATTTTTGTTCTCATTTGAGGTTAATATT